CCAGCCCCTCAGGTGAGCCCCGTACCTGCGCGGGAGCAGGCGCGGGGCGCAAGGGGCCGCGGTGCGGTACCGTACCCGCGTGGAGCGAGGGGCAGGGGCTTCTTTAAAAGCTGCTTTAAAAGTGGTTCCATGGAGCAGACCTCGCTGGGTGCGCGCTCGCTTCTGCAGCTGCAGCAGGGTGAATAATCCGGCCTCGCCTCAGGAAATACATTTGTTTCCGTATTGCTTGTACCGTCCTGAGCGCACGGGCTCGTTGTGGGTGCGGTGGAGGTGGAGGTCTGCAGGCTCGTCTGGCGTGCTGCCGCTCCCAGGAGCAGTAGGCCTCTCCTGACCTGGCGGCTGTCCCTAGAGCCTCGTGAAGGGAGCGAGGTCGTCGTGTGTCAAAGCCTAGTCCCCGCCGTCCTGACCGCGTGCACCGCCGGCCCGGAGAAAGCCTTGCCGGCCAGGCTTGCTGGCAGTGGCTGGGCCCCCCCAGCCGCCGCTGCCCGGCCGGGCTTGCGGGCGGTGGCTGTCCCCTCGCAGCCGCGGCGCTGCCAGGGAGCAGCCCGTCGCAGCAAGAAATCCTCCTGGGGGCAATTGTGGAATAACTTGGTTGCAAAGAAAGTTTCCTCCTTCTACCTCCCCCGTAGTGGTTTGCTAATGCCTTGAAGCAGGGAGGTGTCGACCCGTTTGGGCTGTGTTTTAATACTTGCCTATTATAACTATTAAACTGTTTTCTGTAGACTTTCAAGCACGTTAAGGAGGAAATAGCTTCAAAAATGTCTTTTCCCTGCATTATTAAATAAAAGGTGGTTACGTTTTTCAGACCAGTTGCTGAAACGGAGACTCTCCGCTGATTTCCTGGCAGCCGAGAGCCATTCCCTTTGGTCTCTGCTCCAGAAGTGGAGTCCGAGGTGAACGCACAGTCCAGAAACACCCTGCTAATAAGACAGCGTTATATGTTTCCGAACCAGTGAGTGGTGGCATCTTCAGTGGGGTCTCATTTACATATTGGCGAGGGAGAAATGCTTGTTTGGCCAGACCTTAATTGCTTGTTATATATGAAACATCTTGCAAAATTACAGGTTTTCAGGCTTCATCCTACTTTCATTAAACTGTTTCATTTTTCTTTGTCAGCATGTGATTTGGAGCAGGTTTATCATTTTAGGATTCTTTTTAGATATAGAAAGACCAACGCAGCAGAGTTAAGGAAACAGACGGTTAACAGGCTGGTCCGAAGGCACTGGTCTGTTTCTCTGCTGGCCATGGGAAGGGAGCAGGTGAAACTGCGCAGTGGGTACCAGGTGTGTATGTCTTGGAGCCGTGGAGCTGCAGTTGTCCTGCTCATTCAGGATTGCCTGGTGGACTCTACCAGCTGTCCCTTACTCTCTCTCAAGACCAGGGCTGCTATTCACTTTAGCTGCCTTTTCAGTGAAAGGAGGCATGAAGAAGAGAAAAGCACATGTATGTCAGGAGGTGGGGTACAAGAAAAGTGTAGGAGTTGAGACAAAGCAGGAAGAGTAATGATTTGTTTTACGTTTCTTAGCTTGGCAAATATCTCCTGGGCATGATGTGTCAGCAGTTCTGCAAATCAGTTTGCCAGCCTTGGAGGAATGAGGGATGTGTGTGTGTCGCTTGTTTGCTGGGGCCCTTAGAAACCAGTACTACATTGCTGGGTTCTCCCAAGCGGGCATCTTTGTGGTCAGTCATAGCCTTTTAAGAAGAGATTATTGCCTGTGCATTAGTGAGAGTGGGAAATCAAGGTTGGAGCTAATAGTTTCTGACTGCAGTAGGTTGTCATTTGGGCACTACACAGGAAAAAGGATGGAGCTAGTGAAAATCCTGTTATACCTCTGGCCAATCTACCAGTAACTTTTGTCAAGGAGTGCCCTTGTTAAGTCTTAGTGGGTGATGGAGAGCTGCTACTTGTGCTGCTATTATAAATAACAGGATAGAGGAGGACAAAATTCTCAGATGCATGCTGGACAGAAAAGATCTAATTTAAACTTTTCATTTGGCTATAGCTGGGCAGATTTTTTGACGGCAGTTTAAATGCATAGATGCAGTTCCACATATAGTCTTTCATAACACTAAGCATCTGGGGGCCTGGTGGAAGAGGCTTCTTTGGCAGTGTCGTATAAAATAAGGGCTTGGTGATGGGAGAAGAAAAGTGGCCAGAGTAACTGCTATTCCTCAACAATACTGATCATTTTGTCTGAGCATTCAGTGAGAGAACCTAGCTAAGAGATGTTCAAACTATGTGGTCTGAAGAGAAAGGTGGATCTAACAGAGAAGACAGCACTTAATTTCTACCAGCTGTTATCATTGTGGACTGGAATTTAAATGGTATTTTAACCCCCCCCCTCCCGCCAATATATATATATCACATGATTTCTCATAGTACACACCATTTTAACTATTTAAAACCATTTTGGTTCTGAAGAAAATTCCCTGTGATGAAGGGATCAGGAGGCTCTGGTCCTGTAGTTAATTTCTCTACATGTATGATTCAAAAACTGAATTTAATACAAAATTAAACACAGAAAAGTTTGGAGATAGTGAGCAGCTTATTGACATTGCACCAACTTTTATATTAAGCAACATGTTTAATAGCCAAGACAGTTATCAAAATTGCTTCACCTTAACTCTTAGTTTTTCAGTTCCAGCTTCATTTGGGAGTTATGGTTTTCCTTTGCAGTAGTTCACTGGGAAATTTCCTATGTTTTCCCTACTTTTATTTCTCTGAAACTGCCAGCAGTGTTGTATGCAATGTCAGCAAAGAGACACTAGAGAGCAATAGTAGATGCTGGCTTGGGAATTAACTGTGCTGTCTCAACAGTATTGCACAGGTCTGCTTGCTTGGTGATAAAGAGAATGAGTAAAGGGCATGTGCCTAGACCTATTACGTGACAATGAAATGTTGCCTTGAGACTACTGGTTTGGTTGTATGGCAAGCACATACAAGAACTTCCACAAAATACGATGGGATTCCACAGGAACAATTTATAGGCTGAAAATAGATCAAAGACTTACTTTGAACTCTCCAAACAAGCCTGTGGCATTTATGATGGTGTTTTCATGCTGGCACATTAAGCTAGTTCATAACTGTTAGTTTAGTTAGATTGTATCTTGACTGTAGAGGACTGACTATTCCAATAAGGAATTACACCCTCAAAACAAAAAGTCATTAATTTATTTTCAGACACTGTCTTAAATGAGAGAGGTTGCTGTTTGGTTAGCTTTCTGAGAGACTTTAACCTAATCTTTCTTGCCTTTTAGACTACATAAAACAAGTCCTATGAATAGAGACTAGTTTCTTGCTACAGTGTACTTGGGAATGCAGTCCTAAAATAGTTTGCTGCTGCTTTACCTGTGTAAAGCCCCTGATTTAAACAAGATGAGGGCCATTGCTGTTGGTGAAAGGTAAGTTGGGAGGGTTTCAATGATGTTTGATACAAATAAAATATCACATTCATTTAGACTTTACACTTTCTAAATGCAATGCATCTCTGTAAGTTAAAGAGTTACCAGTCTTGGAGAATTTGTAGAGGAGGTGCACCACGAGCAATGGCTGAATAATTTTCCAACATTGCATTGTCAAGATGCTCTGACCCCTTGGAGGTGAGACGAGATTCTGGTTTCAACTACACATTCAGTCCTTGGCTTCATTTCTTCAAGGATACTAAATAGTGGCTATCAGAATAGTGGACTTTTATTTATGGCAAATCAGGATCTCTATCATGGTAAACTCCTAACTGGCAGACTGGGCTTCAGCTAGTAACCTACAGGTAGAAAGATTGAAAATTTAGGTTTGTTGACCTCTTTGTTAAAGCAATTTTACAGGTTTTATTTCCAGAAGCTTTTAATGGGGTTGTCCAGAGAGAAAGAGACCTTTTGTGCTTGCTCGCTGTTTGTATTTAATCACATGTTTTGGCATTTTGAGGAAATCACTAATTTGGGGGCAGATGCAAAATTTTAATACTGTACAGAAGCTTTTGGGTCCCCCTTGCCCCCAGCCCAAAAGATCCCATGTTTCTAACTGTACCTCATTTTAAGTGTATAGCACTGACGTAGTACCAGTGACACTGCAGATGTTTTCTGCGCTAGGAGAAGAAAGACCTCTCTAGTCAACTGCACACTGCAAGAAAAGCTTGAGTTAATGGTTGGCATTTCAGCAGATCTAGGCAGTTGTCAAACTGGTTCTTTTGGACCAAGAGGGAAAACATTCCAAAGGCAAGGGCCCTTCCTGAGTGTGCCACGCTTGAAACTAAGCTGAAGCCATATGAAATACTTAACAACATTGTCTGAAGGTCTCAGGGTGAAATGGGCACCGAGGTTACTTTGCCTGGGAGGTCAGGGAAGGTGTTGATACAACTGAAATAGTTGTCTGTCTTTTGTAAAACAGTAGATGGTGCTGAAAGCTAGGGCAACTTCTTTCCTAACCTAGTCCATGCTCTGTCACTAATAGGGTCTCATAACTTCACCACAACTATCTACTACAGCTCCTGGTCATTTT